CGGTGCTTCTCCAGCAGAAGTGCAAGTGGAGCAAAATATTTGACGTTCGCTTGCTCATATCAAGCTTTGTTTGTGCATTAGGGTTTAGCAAGAAGGTTAAAAAAGGCTCTTCACTTCTCCCTTTGCAGCATCAGCTTTCTGTAGCCGCGTGCTTCAGGAAGGGTTGCGCAGGAGCCACCTCTGCTCACGGATGAGCATTGCCTTTTGTCCTGTAATTGAATTGAATGGGGTCCGAGACTCATTCTTCCCCGACAGCCCTATCATTTGAGTGCTCTGAAGATGTATTACACTAATATATAGTCAGGGCGACATGGCTATGATGATACATTAATGCAATACATCTTCACAGCTTTAGGGCTGTCCAGAAACAATAGGATGGGCATTACATTACGTTCAGTCATATCACACTCGTGCACACATGCCCTAGCAGCAAATGAAATGTGCTGGAGAAGGAGGGGTGTTCAAACCTGAAGTCAGGCTCATGACTGGGTAAGTGTAGCTTTGCCCAGAGTTAGTGAAAAATCTGTTATTTAGCATGTGCTGAACAGTTCCTACAGGGTTTTGGGGGTGACTATTGGGTTATTTTGGAAACTATTCAGTGTCACCATTCCCTGGAAACAAGGCTGAAGGAATCACAGAAGCCGAGAATGGTTTGGGTTGGGAATGACCTTGCAGCTCATGTAGTTCCAGGAGGTGATTGGAATACCATTATATAGTACGGTACTTGGAGCATGTGTGCAGTTCTGGTGTTCCCAACATAAGAAAGACATGGAGCTGTCGGAGCAAGTCCAGAGCAGGCCATGAGGATGATCAGGGGCTTGGAGCACTTCCCGTATGAAGAGAGCCTGGAGAAGAGAAACTGCATGGAGACCTCAGAGCAGCTTCCAGTAACTCAAGAGGGCTACAATGATGCTGGGGAGGGACTCTTCATCAGGGACTGCAGTGACAGGACAAGGGGTGATGGGTTCAGACTGAAACAGGGGAGGTTTTGGTTAGATATGGGGAAGAAGTTCTTCCTTGAGCTGTTCTTTCCCAGTGCTGAGGCGCTGGCACAGGGCCCAGAGAAGCTGTGGCTGCCCCATCCCTGGCAGTGTTCAAGGCCAGGTTGGACACAGGGGCTTGGAGCAAGCTGCTCTAGTGGAAGGGGTCCCTGCCCGTGGCAGGGGTTGGAACTGGATGAGCTTTAAGCTCCCTTCTAACATGACTCATTCCATGATTCTAAGTGACATTTTGTTTTAAGGGAGTTGAATAGAAAAAAATATTGCCTTTTCCATTGGACTTTGTGAAATGATGGAATTTAACTTGTGTTGCATTCAGCTAAACACAGGACACTTCAGGCTTTCCTAGCAAGCTTCAGGTGGTGGGAGCTGCTGCTGCTGGCCCATGTTCAGCTCAGCAGTCTGAGTGGGCCATCACCTTAGTGTCTGGTCACGGGTCCCTCTGTGGATGGGGCAACTCTCCTTTGGGAATATTGTCAAAACCAAAGAGAAAAAGAGTTCTGACAGACAGCACCCGAACGTTACAAAGCAGTAATATTACCAAAACTATTCTGAATGGCTTTTGCTGTCCCTGCTCCTGGCTGCACTCGTGTCCCTGCATCCTCATCGCAGCACACACGCACGAGCTGCATGCACATAGAGGAGTTTGAGGCTGGAGTCCTCTTTCAGGCAGACTTTAATCCTTTAAAATTCTGCTTTCATTCTTAAACTATTGATGCTGCTCTTTGCTCTTAAATGTCAGAACAAAATAAGTAATACCTACAATTTATTCGGGTGACATTTCAACAATGGAAGATTTCAGATTACAAACTACAGCCCCACGTTGCGCTGAATGTGTGGATTTTTGTGGATTTACATAATGGTTTGTATAATGAATATTTATATAATGAAAGCGTTTACATAATGACTGCAAGTTCAACATGCACAATAAAGATTCCAGGCCAACAATTTAGGTACCCAGTTAAAAATCACCTCTAAATACATTCTGGTTTTATTCCTACGGAAAGGATCACTTTATCATAGAATCATAGTTTGGGTTGGAAGAGACCTTCTCTTGTTCAAAAAAATTGAGCCCAACCTAATGCACGTAAAGGCTGCACTGATGCAAACCATGATAATACCTTGGAATTAGTCAACATTGAATCATTTGTATTCACAGATTTCAGTTTCTTATCTTCTAGTAGCAGCATTGACAAACAGCTTCAGAATATTCTAACTGCGATTCGTTAATATGATTTAGTGGTGCATTCTAGATGTGATGCTTGCATGTAACCCTCATTAGTGCCGATGGGAGTGACAGGAGGAAAATGGTAGAAATTATCAAGCGCAGATGAAGCTTGTGTTTAGATAAAGGTAATTTGCTGCAGACAGAATATAAATCGTCCCAGAAATCAGGGCATTTCAACTCTCTTGCATTTTGTTTTCTAATAAATCCAGGCTTCTTGTTTGCCACACTGATATTTACTTGGATTTGAATGCCATATATAACTGTCTGCACAGCAGAATATACGCCTGAGCATGACACTGGTGCAGCGTGACCTAAATGGGAAAATTCCTCTTTATTTAAGGGACAGAACAGATTCTGTAAATTGCGTTTCCTTCCATCACATTGTACAGGATTTTTTGAGCTAAAAGTTATTTGGATCCTGCGTTCTCCAGCTCTGGACAGAGTTCAGGCCATTAATCAAGCAGGGGACATCCAAGGCACACCCCAGTGCCCTGCAGCGGCTGCACTACGCTGACTGCTCAGGAAAATAGGGTTTTGTAATGATGCAGCCCCATAATGCAGCATTTGCAGTGACTTCCCCAGGCCTTAGCACTGAGGCTTGTCAAAGCATCTCAGCTTGGCCTTGCCCTTCCTGCCTGTTGTCCTGCCAGGCTCAGCTGAAGGAGCGTTTGCTCCAATGCAGCAGACAGATCCAGCTAATCCATTGTAGCAGAGAACAGTTCACCCATGGGCAGATAAAGAAATGCAGGCTTGGAGATGGACAAAGTGGGGTTTAGGGCTTTGGAGAACAAACGAATGCTATGAGGCTGATGTAGAGTCCCAGCCTGGTTTGGGTTGGAAGAGCCCCTAAAGCTCCTCCAGCTCCAACCCCTGCCACGGGCAGGGACACCTTCCACTGGAGCAGCTTGCTCCAAGCCCCTGTGTCCAACCTGGCCTTGAACACTGCCAGGGATGGGGCAGCCACAGCTTCTCTGGGCACCCTGTGCCAGTGCCTCAGCACCCACACAGGGAAGAGCTTCTGCCTAAGAGCTCATCTCAGTCTCCCCTCGGGCAGGTTAAAGCCATTCCCCTTGGCCTGGCCCTGCAGGCCTTTTGATACCCATCTTTGATTAGTGCCTTCCTCACATTTCATTTGCAAGTCTCACTGGGGCTAATGTAATTGATCTGCAGCTCAGTGATCCCGTATTTCCTCTCAGCCCCCATTCTCAGTCCTTTGGTGAAGATACAAACTCACTGATTCACTAAAAGCCCTTGTGGTTACAGGCACCAATTTGACTGAGCTTGAGATGAGGAGGGTCTAATTCCTTCTCAGACCCCTTCTCCAGCCTGAGTGCTCTAATCCTCCTTCTCTCCTTTCTTCCCTCTCCAGGATGACTGTTACAGCTCCTTTCTGTAGACAACCTAATGCTTTAAGCTATTACTCTAAAGCATCACCACGGTTTCCAATAAAATTTTATTTGACATTTAGTTAAAATCCATTTTCTGCTCCAAGTGAATTTTTCCCTGTGTCCCCTGATGGACACTTCAAGCAGAATTCACTGTCGTTGTCTTAAAGGTCAAAAGTTGTTTTGGTTTTTTTTTCCCTAGACCTTGCTTTGTAAAGCAAACCATTACTCAGGATTATGAGAGGCTGCAGGAAGCTGTGACCATCCGTGAAGCTGTTCTTCCCCGCAATTACATGGGTTCCATCAGAGCTGTGGGCACAGCACAAAGACCTTCACTGCAAAACCAGTTACCACTGGGGAGTCCCTACAGAAGAGCCGGTGCAATACCAGGCTCACTGACTGCAGCCAGCTGGACACAGGGGGTATCCTTTACAAACACAAAGCCCTCCAGGATTCCCATGCCAGTAGCCCTGAGATACGGGGCTGGATCTCCCCCCCCAGAGCCAGGCAGAACCTGTTTTGCTTGCATAGAGCAGTGCTGGTGGCTCTGCACCAAGTCATATTTGTAGAGATGCCTTTAATGTTAGATGAAAGTTTGCCTTTAAATACATTATGAGAAATTAAAAGTATAAATGGGAACATTAAATAGAAACTCTGCTTTTAGGTGCCATTTTGCTTGCGATTTTTCATACATATAATTTAATTTGTTCAATAAAGCCACTCTAATAAACTGAGCTGTATCATGGAATAATGGTTCAGTGGTACTTACATTAAATTAAATCTACTGCATGATGACTTAATGTTTTTAACTTTCACACCTACTTCTGGAGAGCCCTGTGTTTTCTGGACTATTTTCTGCTTTGGTTTTAATTGCAATTATTTGATAAATGTCTGCAGCCTGTTCAAATGGGCTTAAAAATATAATCATATCGAGGGTGCCTTTATTTCATAGAATCCCAGAACCCCAGCCTGGTTTGGGTTGGAAGGGACCTTAAAGCTCCTCCAGCTCCAACCCCTGCCACAGGCAGGGACCCCTTCCACTAGAGCAGCTTGCTCCAAGCCCCTGTGTCCAACCTGGCCTTGAACACTGCCAGGGATGGGGCAGCCACAGCTTCTCTGGGCACCCTGTGCCAGCGCCTCAGCACCCTCCCAGGGAAGAGCTTCTGCCTAAGAGCTCATTACTTTCTCCATCTCTATGTTTCAGTACTTTTACAGTTTTCACTGGTCTCAGCTGTCATCTGAAGAAGGTTTCAGTTCTGACAGCCAAGGTAGGCACACACTGCGTAAGGTGCACAAAGCGATGCTCCTACACTTCTGGAAATCAAGAGCCCCAAACCTGTTACTGGTGAGATGCTGAGGCAGCTCCGGGATACAGAGAGCTGTGCTTACCTGATGGAGAGATGTGTCTCCAGGAAATGGAAGGCTCTGGCTTCCCCGTGGCCAGGCACACCAGGGTAACGTTGCTCCCTTCGTTCACAACGATGTCACTCGAAATGCGGTATATCTTCGGGGAAACTGCAAGGAAACAAGAAAATGCTGTAATGGAAAGCTGCTGAGATGGCACAATCCCACCAGAGCATGGAGAGGAGAGCCAGGGTACCCGCACTGCCGAAACCATGTGTGGCTCTTGAAATATAACTATGCAAAAGCCTTGTTTAGGTGCAACCAGAGCTATTCCCATCATGTGCACAGCGGCTCAGGTATGGATCCAGAAAGCTACAAAGCAGCAATTCCTCTGTTGGTGCCAAGCAGGTATTGCTACTGAGTTCCTAGGGAGCTGCTGCTGCTGGATGCTCCCGTCTAAGAGAAGGCTGAGCTCGCTTGTCACAGTTTGAAAAGAAGAGGAAATTAGTTTTTTCGTGTGCTTTTAAAAATAGTGATGCCTGTCACATCTACCCCCCGTGTTCCTGGAGAGTCACAGCTCTTCACAGAACACTAACGTACATTCGTTTCTGCTGCTTTGTATTGCTTTTAAGCTTGTAGTAGCAACATGGCAAAGAAAATACAAGCCAGATTTTCTTCTATTACCTCAGCAGAACTCTTCACTAAAGTTCATATTCTGCACTATTTATACATCTGGGCATAAAAGAGTTCCACATGGATGGAAAATGATGGAAAAAATGTCCTACCCTTAAGGGACTGCTCTACTCTTTGTAATGTTGCATGGGGAGTGAAAGAACTCAGGATGCCAGCAGTGAAGGTGGGAATTCAGGGTTTCAGATGAATCTTTCTGAAGAAGTATATGTTTCTTTACATGTCTTATTATGGTTGGTATAGGCACACGCTATTGACGTTTCTGAAAAGCACTCCTCTCTACAAGATAAAGAACAGATCCTGTATGAATAGCTGTAAAAGACACAGATCCTACATGTGGGAACCTACAGAAGGTTTCAGAACCTTCTGTAACAACTGCTGTAAAATCCCAGGGCTCCACAAGGTAAATGGCTACCCACAAAATGAGGGCAAGAAAATGGTTATGATCTTCCTAACCAAAGCCTCTGTCCAAGTGGAGCTTCACTATCCTGAATGCCCCAGCCTTGTCCTACCGGCTTGCTCCATTTGCACAGCAAAATGCCACCATCTGATCCCACCTCTGCAACCTGGAATATGCTGCTAACGTCCCCTCAAGGTACTGTGAAACTACTTCGTCTCATGCGCAGCCTGGTTTTGGGTGCTCTGGGATCCACCTGCAGATGCTCTCCAGCCCTTTCCCTGGTCCATCAGCTGGAACTATTTCAGTTGTAGGAATGAGCTGGGGTCAGACAGACTTCAAATGCTGGGAATTCCCGGTGCTTGCTTGTGCCTGTGCACTTGTGAGCAAAGAAAACTGAAAGTTCATGTAGAGTGTTTTTAATGAGCAGAAAACCACCATCTTCAGGTGAAACTGGTCTGGGGAAGGCTGAACCTGCCCACTTCCTAAAGTGATGAAGGTCAGCATCACCCACCTTTCAAGTTCAAGCAGGATTGCACTCAAGAGATATAACACTGAATTTGTCATAGTCCAACTCACAAAGGTGGCAATCCACTCCTCCCTACCTCTCTTGCTGACCTGGAAGAGCACGCAGTCACTACAGACCATTTTTAGCAACAGACACATTCAGAAGAGTTACTTCCATGCAAAGGGATAATTTATTAATTGTACTTCTTTGTGGATCCCTAAAATGAGCCTGCTACTGAACTTCCTCCTGCAGAAGTCTCTTCCGTCCTAAAGGAGATGGTGAGCACCCACCAGTGTCGTGTCCCCCCCACCACAGCTACAACCTGACATGGGATCCCCATGCACTGAAATGGGGCGTTGTTGATGCCAGTCTTCCCCACTCCCCCATCCCAGCCCAAGCTAAATATCATTAGGATTTCTTCTTGGCAACAGACAAAACACTGAGAGGAATTCTTATTATTCTTATTTATGTGTACAGAGAATGAGCAATGAATCTGCTTCCCACAGACACCTGGCGAGGGATCACTCCCTCTGAAATGCAGAACTCCGTCTGAGAGCAGGGTATCACGAGGGATGGGGCAGATGCAGTGGTTTTATTCAGTCTATGGTATTACAATAGTATCTGCCTGCTTCTGAGCCACTTATTTCTTTATCCTTCATGAATGAATGTACTGCCACAAAGTCAAGGAATCAAATCACTAAAACCAGTTCTTCCCACAAGTAAAGATATACAATTGGCTGATGCAGTTTCTATTTGAAACTGTGAAAATCAGTTCTAGATTAAGTAAATGCGATGGTGTAAGATTTCCAACTGCATTAAACTGCTTATTCGAGGTTCTGTGCCTTTGAAGGGAGAAAAAGAGAGATTTGCTCATGTCCTGGCCTTACTGAAGCGGTCCCATGGAGGGATTTCTCACACCTGACACCTACTGCTGCTTATCCCGGTGATGTTTATTTGCCTTAAACCTTGTCACCAAGCACAGAGGATGAGGCTGGAGCCCTCTGTGCTGTCATGGGAGTGCCTGGGTAACCACTACAAACTAAAGCAAGTTAAAGAGGTCTCCTGGTGCTCAGGCTGTGCCAGGGTTAGGGTGAGGTTTAGTCCAGCCTCTTCCCTGCATCCATCACCAGGAAGTAAGGGGTGAAATGCCCACTCAGCATTCAGTAAACTGATTTAATTAGTGCCAGTGACAACAACAGATGAGAAACATGATACTCATAGAATCATTTAGGTGGGAAAACACCTTTAAGATCAAGTCCAACCGTTAACCCAGCAGTGCCAACTCCACCACTAACCCATGTCCCTCAGTGACACATCGACATGTATTTAAAGACCTCCAGGGATGATGAATCCACCACTTCCCTAGGCAGCCTGTTCCAGTCAATTAGTGACATTAATTAATACCATTGATTCCAGTGGGAATGAGGAGCTGTTGGCCTGCTGGTCCTTCAGCTCAACCACTGTAGGTCCTGTGAGCAGAGCAGCGTGGGGATCCGGCGCATCATACAACCAACTGTAATCAAATCTCCCAAGACACAAACTTCCAGACAAAACAGACTGACTGCCCTGTCACAGGCAGGACTCTAGAGCTGAAGCAGTGGGGTTTCATTCCGCTCCCATAAATGAACAAGATTTCATTTCCAATGCAAAGACCAACATGGTCTACTCTTTGTGCTTGATGCAAGTGCTCTCCTTGTCCTCCTTTGCCTTCCCTTACATAAGGTTTTATTCACTCTTCATCACTCACCTCCTTTACAAGTGTCCTAACAACAAGCAGCCTGCTTTCCCTAATGCTCAGGCTCCCAGCCCTGGGTTTCCTCCTGCAACTCCAGCTCTTTCCCTTTCCTCTTTGTTTTTGGGTAGCCACGGGCCAGCCCTCAGTCTCACCTCTCTTGCTACAGGTTTTTCCTGCCATGTTAAACCCCCAAATCTATATAATTCTGTCAAATACTTTAATTTTGATAAAACTGTATGTTCTAAAGGCAAACAAGTGAAAACCTCCCCCTGGTGCCTCTACATGGAAACCGTGGTTATGGGGCATGGAATTTGGTACGAATGAAATTCAACCATACCAAAGTATTTGTGCAGTATATGGCCAGAGAGGCCACTAAGGGTAATTCAGTCTGAGCTCATACAGTCACAGGCTGTAAAGTTTCCCAGGAGCCTGAATACAATATATGTTCTATAAAGCTGCCTGGTCTCATCCTTGCAATTCCGGGCAATGCTCAGGCTGCCACATCTGGACAACACTTTCAGCAGCTAAATACCCCCTCGCTGCTGGGAAATAGCATCTTAGCTCAAAATTGCCTTCCACTAAATTCAGCTTTCAGAAATCATTATGTTTTTGTCTGCAAAAATGAGCATCCCCCTTACTATCAAGTATCTTTCTTATGAGTAAGGACCCGCACAACGTAACAAATCACCTCTTCATCTTTCTCTGCAGATGATTTGAGCATCACACGCTTAACTTCTGTAAGGCTTCCTAGATAATATTTGATTCTCTCTCAAGGAATAGCTGAATCATCCTGAAATGTGAACAGTAGAACAAGGTGTAATAGCCTTGCAAGAGTCTAACCCGCACTGTACAGAGGTAAACCCACTACTTTATTTCAGCTTGATTTCCTCTTTCCCTGTGCAGTTATTATTACCTGGACCATTTATTCCTCTTATCCCGCTAGCTCCTGGCAGTCTGTGGAGGGGTAAAGGGATGGAGGAGACAGGAGGCATGGAAAGGATGAGGATGGTTTGCTGCATGGATTTCCTGTCTCATTAAAAACAGCAGCTATGTGTACAGCAGTGTAAATGCCTGGAGGCATCTCTTGGTCTCATTACATGTCCACCAGTGAACCCCCTTGGAGCATTACTGTGGGAATCTCCTCTTAATTTCCTCTTTAAATTTGAATATCTTGTAAGTAAAACCTGGTGTCCCCAGAAGTAGTGCAGTGTCTCCAGGGTTCTGACTGCTTTGTCTAACCTCACCCTCTCTCCTCCTCATCACCATCACAGCCTGGTTTGTGCTGGAAAGGAGCTTAAAGCCCATCCAGCTCCAACCCCTGCCACGGGCAGGGACCCCTTCCACTAGAGCAGCTTGCTCCAAGCCCCTGTGTCCAACCTGGCCTTGAGCACTGCCAGGGATGGGGCAGCCACAGCTTCTCTGGGCACCCTGTGCCAGCGCCTCAGCACCCTCACAGGGAAGAGCTTCTGCCTAAGAGCTCAGCTCAGTCTCCCCTCAGGCAGGTTAAAGCCATTCCCCTTGGCCTGTCCCTACTTGTTCAACCTCTGAACAGCCCCTTCCCCACCAGAGGCTGCAGACCTGCTTTCCTACCTGGCTGTGTGGAGAAGCTGCCTTGTCTAACCAGACCTGCTGCCCCTGCCATCCCTGATGGATGCCAACAGGAGTTGGGCCTCTGTGTCGTGCTTCTTCCTGGAGCCCAGAGTTGTGCATGCCATTATTTGCAGGGGATTGACATGGAGGCTATAGTTCATTGCAGGGTCTCATTTCTCATTTTCAAGGACTGGAATTACATTCTTAGTTACATTCCTCTGTACATAAACGATGCAGCATAATAAAGCTTT